GCGAGTGAGCAGCAGTATTGCAAGAATTCAGTGTTCCATTTAGGTTCTTTAGAATGTGTGGTTAATCAAGTGTAAACATTTTCCTACAGCACACATCTCAGGAAGTGACAGGGCATGTATTACATTATTCCAACTCTCCTCACAAGACTATATAAAGCTGTATGGTTGAATGCCTCATAAACATGAACGGGTCTCCTGCTATGATGACCACATCAGTTTGATTTTAAAGTCTAAATGGACCACTGTTCTCTCGATAACTGGGTTTCTTTTTAAAGGCTATTGCCCAATTCAGGTAATATTGGTAATCAAATTTTTTTATACAGTTGAGAATGCAAAGGAGATGATAAGGTTCTTTGAAAAAGAAAGGGGGAAAATCACAAATCTTGGTTCGATATGACCACCAAGGCTGATAGCTAAAAGAATGTCATTTACGAATGTGTGTTATCCCCGTGTGACCGACATGCAGAGCTGCAGCTTTTTCTTCCCTCCCCACCAGATAACCCCCCTCCCCTACCCCATCCCAACCTCCTTTTCCCAGGGAGTTTTTCTTCCATTACCAACCTTGCAGTTTGGTACAGCTATAGATACCATAAATGTCATTACTGGGTGTTTCTTGAAAAAGGAATTCTTCATGAGAAAGGTACTTATTTGGAATTCTTGGAATCACTCTTCATTTTTAAAGTTGAACTTGTATTCCATGATAAAGTTTCTCTAGGAGAAATCCTTTTTGCTACACATCCATTGTGTGTACATCCTAGTGATGCTCCTCATCTTACATATAAATGATCACATTAACTTTATACCTCAAGATTCTACCTGTAAACAAGCCAAGACTTAAAATCTATTTTATTTACTAGCATTATACCAGGTGCTCTAAGCCCAGTGTCTTTAGTGATCTTATATTTAGAAATTGCTAGGCTTATGTAGGTGGAGGTTTTGTTGATGTATGCCAAATTTTACATTAATCAAGAAAACTAATTATTTAGGAATGGCACTTGCCTCATAACAAAAATGTGCCATGAGCAGAAGCCATTGCTCTTGGGCTAGGCACAGTGGACTCTTTATATTGACCAGAAAGGAGGACTGTGGCACAAAGAGTGCCATTTATCTTATGTATATATTCTCTCTATTCAGATCAATGGTAGGCTTCTCTTAGAGAAACCGACGGGTAAAGTGAATTCAGGTCTCAAATTTAGCTAAGGTTTGAATGTTACTCTATATCAGCTGGAAGCAGGAGATTGTACAGACAAATTTTTTTATTTATTTGCCATATATTTTTTATTTATTTATTTTTGTGTGTGTGATTTCTGATGATAGAGAACTGGGATGCTGCTGCCATTCTGATTTGAATTAACATTCAAATATAATTTCTTGAACAGGGATAGATAGATTTGTTATTATATTATGATATTTTTTATATGTTTCATATTAACATTTTATGTTAATTTTTTCTTTCTTTCTCTTGTTTCTTTCTTTTTTTAAGATTTAGATTTACAGATGATATAAGTCACGTATAAAGCTATATTTTTATTGTTTCAGTGATAAACAAGGCTGGAACCATTTTGATAGCCTTATATGGTATCACACCTTTCAGTGTCACTATGCTAAACTCTAACAAGAGGATAAAAATTTTGCTATGCAAGCTAATGCTTTGATATACCCATTTCTTCATTTTAATCAACAGACACAGCCAAGTTGCTGAAAGCACAAGAATTTTGGCCATTGTAAAGATGTGAAGCCATGTTAAATCTTTTTATTAAGGTATCACATGTTTGGTGTGAAGTATATAATCATTTATGATAGTTTTTGTAATGAGTACAAGATACTTACAGTGGTGGTAAGTAACCATTCACTATTTTATAGGATATGTAGGGACACAAATTTATTTTACCTTCATCTGTGTATTTTGTTTTTTCCTTTGTTGATTCTGAGATAGTTGACTTTGGTCAATTGTCTGGTTTTTCTTCAGTTGAGTAAAGGTTGAATACTGGTGTAGTAGGTTGGATATAGACCTAAGTATGCAAGGATCTTTTTGACTGCTTCGATGATAGTGCTGCAAATAGCAATTCAAAATGTTTTTGCCATTACTAGTGGAGCTTTTAAAGACCATTACAGTTTGGTAGTGTTCTTCATAAGTTACAGGGATGTGGAAGTTGTATCTGTTGTGTCATATAACAATTCTCTGAATTTTGGAACTACGTGATTATCCTAAAATATACAGAAGAGAAACCTGAGTGGACTGGATCCTCTTGCATAGTATTAATAATGCTCTTAAAGACAGATATGCACTGTGTCAATGGGCTTGTCCGAGTTATTTTTATTGGTACCATGTTTTACAGCAGTTCAGTGACAAAATTTATGAAAATTGTGAGGGGAAGAAACTTACCCCCTTGCAATGCCCATCTTGATAACAGATGAATTTGATAGTCTGAACTCTTTTCCTCGAAGGTTTTGTCTTTATCTCGGATTTGCCCAATATCCATCATATCCATGCCCATAATACATATCTAGGGCAACACTTATAAACGGGTACTACATACAAGGTCACTATAACAGGGTCCAGCTGGCGTGCCTAGCGCTAACCGGTGTCGTTCGTCTTGCATTCCCATCAGGGAAATAGACATTCAGGATCATATTCTGTATTAATTCCATTTTTATTTTGTGTTCTTTGGAATGTCCTTATAGAGTAAATTATAGGATAAATTATAATCACTCTGGTCTCTTGAGCCAATTTCTTTGGTGCATCTACCTCAAGTCATTTCTTCTGCTGGCTTGTGTGACCCCTTCCATGACATGTTAAGGTCCTCCACATGAATTTCAAAAGTCAGGGATTGAAGCTAGAATTTGTCTGCTGAAAAATTCTGTGATATGTTGAGTATCTTCTCAGGATAGCAGTAGATAATGGAAATCTTTCCTTGTTATGAAGGCAGTATTTTGTGATTCAGTTACGAACAAACAGCCAATTTGTGCATCATGTAAATGTGAGAATTATCAGATTTGTTGTGCTGAAAATGATTGATGGAGCTATCATGGGTCTTGAAAGGTTAACATGGGAGGTGTCTGTCAAACCAAATGTGAATATATCCTGCAGGTTTTAAACATTCAGGGTCATGTATTATTATATACAGCAACTTTTCTGTCAGGGGTTCTTGCAATATTCAGGTGAAGATACCATAGTTTTTGTAATTTTTTTGCCATGACAACTTACCAACTCAGCTACAACTTTAACGCAGGTACTTTGTAGTCTGGGAGCATCTTTGTAACAAGTTAAAAGTTTTCCAGCAGTTTTAAACTGTCTAGGTGATAAATGACTTGATAATTCTTAGCCATGCAAAAATGTTTTACTGTTTAGAAAATGTTGTGATGTTTCTTGTTTCATTACTGGGTTGGTAGGATTAAACTTCCACACTGTGTCTTCAAAGCCTCGTTAGTCTGTATTGTGCAGGGATTGACCTTAATGAAGGTGGTGTGGATGTTTAAAATCTACTAATCGAGTTTGTAAAATATTATCATATTGTGAGATTTAAGTTTTATCAGATTCAGGTTAATGATATGTATGCTAGATTTTTTTATAGCCTTTTTAGAATTGATTTTTTTATGGTAGTTTTAGTTTGGACTATCTATGATAGTGTATATTTTCAGAAGTGCAAATTTTTTAATAATTTCTTTTAATATATTATGGGATATGTAATAGAGAAAGAAACACGTACACAAGATTTTGTGTATTGCATTAATGGAGCATTATATTTGAAAGTTATTCCTGTACTTTACAATCAAAGATACACTTTCCATGCAAAAGTTCGTGAGTGATAGTTTAATTACTTAGCAAATTTCTTAAACACAAAACAGATTTTTGGACACTTCTTTCTCAATAACTTATCCTAAAAATTTTCCAAGTAAATCTATCTTAGTGTCTAAAAATAAAAAAAAAACAATTTATGGGTTTGCTGCGTACAAAACAAATAGCCACTGTCTATTTGATGTAATACGATTTTTAACTATGCCCTTTATCATAGAGGATTAGGGTTCAGGTAGCTCGAATATGTGTGTGTGTCTCACTTGGGAAGATGTATCCATGTCTGGTTCACAAACATTGTTCCACATAATAACAGGAAATTTGGATGAACAATTGGGTCTATCTTGCCAGTGAGTTTACATTTATTGTCCGTGGTTGGCCTCTAGTCCTCGTATTTCCATTTTAAACGTTTGTAATCCCCCGTATCTTCATATATGTATTGACAAATTTAATGCAAGGTTAGAGAGAAAGAGACCAGGGCAGTGATAGTGCCAATCAGAATGTGTTTTTGAGTGTCAAGTGATGTTGTAACATAAATTTACTTTTTTTTCTTCTTTTTCTTTTCTTTACTTTTCTTTCTTGTCTTTTCTCTTCTTCAGTATTAATGAGAAACACTTAAAAAGCTTTACTTTTTTCTCTCATTGTAAAATGTGTATTGCTCAATGAAATGAAAGTCAACCTCATTTCTGCAGTATGCAAAGTGAAATGTTCTGGGAGAACTGCAGACTTCTGAGAACACTTTTTTCTGTTCATAACAGTTATGTTGTAGAAATTAGATACTAGTACTGTATATTGAATAACTTTAATCAGCATAGATTCGTAATGATTAAAAACAGAAAATGTTGCTTTGTAGTGTTTGTTCTAAGTCTTAAATGGATTAAAGATCATCGGACAGTCTGTGGTTGGTACCATCATGCCCTGATAGCTTCAAATGTTGGTGTCGTAGCTATAGAATTATAATGTCTAGAATATGGAAGTATCAAGAGATCGCAGTGGACTCCTTGGGGAGTGATACTGTGCCATGGCATTCTATTCAATGCATTTTATAGTCTCACATGGAAACTAATTGATATCTATTAATAAATGAACCTAACCTAGAAACCTACTATTTTATTTTTTTGCCCCTACGTATTTCATGTGTATCGTTCAGCTTTAGTTCAACAAAAGTCAAATCATTGGAAATAAACATTAGAGAATTGTGAATTCCCATGCAGTGAAATATAGGAGAGAGAGGGAGACAGACAAAAACTGATTGTGATGTGAGTGGAAGAGAGAGAGAGAGTGGTGTGTGTGTGGTGTGTGATGTGGTGTGTGTTGGTGTGGTGTGTGTGTTGGTGTGTGTGTGTGTGCCTTTCTTTTATTATAAGAAAAAAAATTGTCTGGAACATATCGTGATCTCTTCACAATTAAACTGTTTTGGTTGAAGGAGAATGATAAATAAAGCTTTGCCTAAATAAGTTATCTTCAAATGCATAAATTGTTAATTATCTATATTGAAAGATACAGGAAAAGTAATAAAGACAAGTCTTTGCAATTCCAACTGACTGCAATTTCTCTCTCTCTCTCTCTCTCCTCTCTCTCTCTCGTGCTCCTCTTCTCTCGATCTCTCTCTCGTTCTCTTCCTCTGGCGTCTCTTTTCATCCCTCTCTTCGCCTCTCTCTTCTCTTTATTTCCTTCCTACCTCCCTCCCTCCCAAACCTCCAACCATTTCCTCGCTCCCACTCGCTTAATTAAACCTACCCTCCCATCCCTTCCCCTTCTCCCCCCCTCCATTTATCCTCATTCCAATAACTTGTATTCTCTTTTATATTTCTTTTGGAGTTGATTTGGTTATCTTATATACCTCGTCTTCTTCCTTTCCTTTTTCCCTTCCGACTTTCTCTTCCAACGTTTTAATTTATCTGCTTCATTTCTTCTGATCTCTCACTCTTCGTAAGTCTGGTATTACTTTGTTTACCTTCTTATTTCCTGTTGTTCACGTTTCATCTATGCCCTTCCTCACATTCTATTCATGGGCTTCATCTCGCGGATCCCATCTACTCTTCTCTCATCTCCTCTCTCTCTCTCATCTTCTCTCTCTCTCTCCTCTCTCTCTCTCTCTCTCCTCCTCCCTCTCCTCTCCTCTCCTCCTCCTCTCTCCGTCTCCTCTCCCCTCCTCTCCTCTCCTCTCTCTCTCTCCTCTCCTCTCCTCTCCTCTCCTCTCCCTCTCCTCTTCTCCTCTCTCTCTCTCCTCACTCCTGTCTCAATTCTCCCGTGTCTCCCTCTCTCTCGTCTCTCTCTCTCTCTCTTCTCTCTCTCTCTCTCCCCCCACCTCTTCTCTCTGTCTCCTCCCCCCTTCTCTCATCCCCCCCCCCTCTCTCTCTCTCTTCTCTCTCTCTCGTCTTTCTCTCTCCCCCCCTCTCTCTCTCTCCTCCTGCTCTCCTCTCTTCTCTCTCACTCTTCTCCCTCTTGCTCTCTCTCTCTCTCTCCTTCTCTCTCTCTCTCTTTTCATCTGTCCTCTCTCTCTCTTCTCATGCTCATCCTCGTCTCTCGCTTTCTCCTGCTCTCCTCTTCACCTTCACTCTCTCTCCCTCTCCCCCCTGCCGCACCTCTCTCTCCTCTCTCCCCCGTCCTCCCACTCTCTCTCCTCTCTGCCCCCTCCTCCTCACTCTTCTCTCCTCTCTCTCCTCAGCTCCACTCACTCTCTCTCTCTTCCCTCCCACTCACTCTCTCCTCATCCCTCCTCACTCACTCTTCTTCTTCTTCTCTCCTCCCACTTCTCTTTCTCCCCCTCCCTGCTCTCATGCTCCTCTCCGTCTCTCTGTCTCATGTGCCTCCCTCTCTCTCCTTCTCATGCTCTCCTCTCTCTCTCTTCTCATGCTCTCCCTCTCTTCTCATGCTCTCCTCTCTCCCCCTCTTCACTCTCTCTCTCTCGCCCCCCTCCTCACCTCCTCTCCTCTCTCCCCCTCCTCACTTCCTTCTCCTCTCTCCCCCTCACTCACCACTCTCTGCCTCTGCTCGTCCTCCTCAACTCACTCTGCTCCTCTCTTCTTCCTCCTCACTCACTCTCTCCTCTCTTCTCTCCTCACTCACTCTCTCCTCTCTCTCCTCCTCAGCGTCACTCTCTCTCTCCTCGCATCCTCATCACTCTCTTTCTGCTCCTCCTCTCCTCCTCTCTCTCTCATCTCTACCTTCTCCTCTCTCTCTCCTCTCTCTCTCTCTCTCTCTCTCCTCTCTCTCTCTCTCTCTCTCTTCTCTCTCATCTCTCTCTCTTCTCTCTCTCTCTCACTCTCCTCTCCTCTCTCTCTCTCTCTCTCCTCTCTCTCTCTTCTCTCTCCTCTCTCTCCTCTCTCTCTCTCTTCCTCTCTCTCCTCTCTCTCCTCTCTCTCTCTCTCTCTCTCTCTCTCTCTCTCTCTCTCTCTCTCTCTCTCTCTCTCTCTCTCATCTCTCTCTCTCTCTCTCTCTCTCTCCTCTCTGCCTCTCACTCCTCCTCCTCCTCCTTCCTCCTCACCTTCGTCTCCTGTCTCTCCTCCTCACTCACTCACTCTCGCTCTCTCTCCCCTCTCTCTCTCTCTCTCTTCTCTCTCTCTCTCTCTCTCTCTCTCTCTCTCTCTCTATTATTCACCTTTGTATGTGTGTATTGTCTGTGATATAAACCATATTGGTAATATAACTATCTTATATTTATCCAATTGGATTGGGCCACCTTGCTGTCTGCATGTGAC